ATAATGAATTTTGATTCACTTGGTATGTAGAAGAAGTTTAGTGAAGGCCTTCAGAATTTGGATCGTGACATTGTGTACTTAGTTTATTTAGCATGAACTTAATGATATGGGGCATAATTAAGATAATATCGATGATTAGAAAAAAAATTATTATTCATTGAATTTGAGATTTTTATCTCGCAAAGGGTGAAATGAGATCTTCTTGAAACAGGTTAGAAGCATTGGACGAATCAGTTTCTTCTAATTCTAATGATAGATGGATTGTTTTGTATATATAGTAGCCTAGCCTAGTTAGCTAATTTGAGACATTTCTATAATTTCAATAAATTTGAGACTTGCTTAAGATAGATGAGGTGCTCTTAATCACCCATCACACCCCTAGTTAGGTTGTGACATAGTATTTATACTTTAATAATTTTAGTCATCTTCATCATGTATTTATTCAGTGTAGAGTTATTTTTATTAAAATCACCAAGGTTTAAAATGCCTCCAACCAAGTCAATATGGTTTACTATCGCCTTTGTTTACCTATTGGTTCACCAATACCTCTACCTTTCTTTGGCCTCATATATATTTGCCCTTTGTAACAAACCCAAGATCTATTATAAAAAATAAATCTGTGACACTCAAATTTATCTTCAGTATACTAGTACTAGAATTTTGTGACTAGAATTTGTTCAGCATAGTTAGGTACCAATTAATATGAACCAAAATTATATTATTGTACTATGTACACTACCTCCTGTAAAGAGCCTTTTGAATGCTGACAAAATTAATGCAATGTCCTTTGCCCTAAAATTTCAGACACAAAATCCTTTTTTTTAAATCTCAAAAAAAAACTAGGACAAAATTGAGGTTTGAAAAATAAAATGGCTGAAAAACTGATATTTATTAGAATAAAAATAAATTCTTACTTTCTTTATCTTAATTTATGTGATATATTTTTATTTTTAATCCATTCAAAAAAGAATGTAACATTCTGATCTATAATCACACAAATGATCAACAAGTGTTTAGACCACAAATTTCATAAGACTTCTTTTTTTACTTGACCTGTGTGTCAAGTAAAACGATGGCATGTAAATTGAGACGAATAAAAATATAACCCAAAAACGAACGTATAGTTACAGCTCCATCCAAAGCTTTGCGCAGTTGAGTTATAGACACAAAGTTGGGAGCAGTATCTAAAAAATCTATGGGCGGAATTAGGAATATCGGCAGAACTTAATTAGTTGATTCGAATTATATATATATATATATATTTGTTTGTTTGAGAATTCATTGCATATACACACAGAGGCGAATTTATGTATTAAATTTGAGTCAGCGAAATTTATGATCATCCGACTAAACTCGATATATTACTTTTATAATTATTAAAGAATATATTAAATATCAGCTGGTGGAACCTATTCTCAAAATGAGTTAAGTGGTTCACTGGTTTGAGGGACTATTTTTAGCAATAAGGTCTCCATTCCGATCCCTGCCATCACCATTATTTCACATAAAAAAAAATTATATTAATTAAAACACTTTTTCAAAAAAAACCTAAACTCTAAAAGCTCTAAAGTCAAAAAAACTCAAAAGGTTTTCATCCCACCCACTTTTCAAGTTTCAACTAGACTGTCTTTAAAGCAATGGTGCACCCATTTTTTTGAAATCCTGAATTCACCTATGAATAATACCCATACCTATAATAAACTTCAAATTCATGAACCACCTCCGTAAAAGTTTATATTATAGCTACATCTATCTAACATTAAAGGAATGTTGCAAGTTCAAGAGTTATATAGTTAATGATTATATTTTTACCGATAAGGGTTATGGTGGAGTGATACGTATTCCTTCATTCTTAACTAGATGTCTCGGGTTGAGTCCCCCTTGGGTACAAAATCGCCTTTGTTAATGAGCGTTTTACCCCCTCAATGTGGGACTTCTCTGCGCGAATTCAAATTTAATCAAACTCTAGTATCGATAAATTGAACATCAGATAGCCAACCAAAAAAATATCATTATATGTTTCAATTAATTATGTTCACTTTGTTTTCCACATTTATGTATTTCTTTCTATAAGGGAGAGAAGACATAAAGTGACACCTGACGTTATCCCGAATTTTCAAAAAGATATCTTAATTAACTATGTGGATGTCCTATTACCCCCCTAAACAATCTTGAACTAAAATTATTATATCACTTTTTGTCCACCTAGCATAAAAAGTGTATGCACTCTTTTTAAAGAACGTGAGCAACTAAAATAAAAATTTTCACCGAACCAACTCACTAGAAAAACGCATGGTGAAGACAATTTCCATTGAAATACTGGACATTTTTCTTTCACTGATTCAATCAAAATATCTGTAAAAACAGCAATTGAACATTAAACTTCAGTGAGAAAATAACAATTTATTAATAGTGTATCTATGCAAAGTAGGAATAAAGTTATATATACATTATCTTTTTCAAATTTTATTTGTGAGAATACATCAAATATATTATTGTCGTTATTGTGATGTATAGTTGAGGTGGTCCAATACATACTTATGTTAATGCATGCACTATTCTATTTGAGTGACCCTTTCCCAGTGGATATGGTCACTAGATCTAAAATCTAGAACCATCTTATGCACTATTTTAAATGTAGGAAAATTATTGCTATTAGGACCACTTTTTTTTCATTGAATATATATGACCTTTGAAAACCTCAGGTGTTTGGCCAAAAATAGGATTAAAGAAAATCATAGATTCCTAATGCCATATATAACCATCTTTCTTTCTCATTTTATTAATTAATTTATCACACATGTCCTCTAAAGGATTTTATTTTCCCCTAATTAGCAAGTTTATTGGATATATTAAAGTAGAAATTAACTTGTACCACACTTTTTCGTTAAATGTAGCTATCTTAAAGCCAAAAATAGACTTAAAGTGGGGAAAAGAGAATTATTACTAATAGATCATCGATTTTTTTTCTAGTGGCATCTCGTTGATTTCGTAATATTATTGTAAAACTAATTAATGAAAACAAATTAGTGTCTAATCACTTTTATGTTGTTATTCTAATAGATCTAGTGGTGTTTATCTTCTTTTTTATTGCGTACTTAGCTTGAATCATGTCTATGGATGTTATATTTAATTTTACAAATCCTTATCCTTTTTCAATCGTACAATGGATAAACATTAAATTTTGAATTCATAATTTCAAACACTCATGGACAGGATTCAATGGTAAAAACATAAATCTTTATGAAATTCAAAATTCTTTGTGTCTATATCCTTACCTAAAACCCTTCCATATATCACGTTGTGTTTGTGAATTGTGGGTGGTGAGCCTCAAAGTAACAAATCTCACTTATTTCCCATAATGTCTATAACCATTATTATATATATGAATGTGACCCTTCCACTTGAGAAAGTCCTAGCTCATTATGAGAGAGTCCCACTCCATTTACAACCAATTGTTTTATAGACACAACTCGTATATATGTATGTATGTATGTTCAACCAAGAAAAAAAAGAGCCCAACTAGCTAGATCTTATCATTACTCATAGTTCCTTCATTTCAGTTTAAAAAAGAAAGACACATTTCTAAATTTAGCTATACACTTTCCAATCTTATTTTTGATGAGAAACTTTTATAACTACACAAATATTATGGCATGTTTGCTTCTATAAGTTTGAAAAGTCTTAAAACTACACAAATATTATGAAATATTTGGATTAAGATCACAAATTTAAAAAATCTTTACTTCTCTCGGTCTATTCAATATATGTCACATAATTTGAAAGCTTAAGTAGGGGATATCTTTCACATAGAAAATCAACATCAAAATGTTGTAACGTTCTCCCAAAACTATTGCCAACCATTGAAAATGAAAAGCACAATTCTTGTTCTTGATAAACTTCTCCTAACTCTTCATATTGAAAACAACTTGTACTTATAAACGTCATTCTTCCTATTTAAACCATCAGGCACGCAGTTTAGATCATACCTAACCAAAAACACTCCTCACTATTCTATCATCTCTAAACACCACACACGTTTAAGATTTTAAGATAAAAACGCGTTTGGAAGAATAATTCAGAGTTGTAGGTGAGTCACCTTAATTAAGTAAGTAAATGGAGTCTCAAAACAAGTATAGGAATCAAAGAAGAGGATCAAAGCACAAGAAGTCACGTGGAGATCAGAAAAGTGTTGAGCAAAACAACAGCACTTCATCATCATTGTGGGTGGTGGTAGCTTATTCATTCATTTTGAGAAAGGCTAAAGCATTTTATGAGTGGATTTGCAGCAATGGCAACTACGACGAGGTACCTCTGACTGATCCTTACTTCTCCGTCCCTGTCCTTCCTCCAACCACTACAAATTAAGCTTAGCTCAATTCAGTATGTAATTTAACTTGTTATAACAAGTTATCGTTCTTTATTGTTACTATGACCTAATAGTGTAAGAATTCTTATAAACTCGTGTTTACATATGTTTAAAGTACTCATAAGTAGTATTGGCTATGTTTGTTGTGTAAAGTATGTATCTTGTCTAGATTCTTCTTGAAAATTTGGAGATTTGTTCAGAATTGAGACATAATTAATGGATTTATAGATTGATTTAGACATCTAGATATATGTTAACAAGATCGGAGTGTATTTCAATTAAGTTGTCAAATAAAGAAGTATTTGGCTATTAATAGTTTGGAGATGAAACTAATAATTTGTGCTAAATTCTAGGGCGTGTATTATACTTCCTCACAATGATTTATCATGTATTATTAAGAGAAGAAGCCATTTCAATGCAATCAGCTAAGTGAATCTGAAAATAATATACCTCTACCAAAACTCATAATGATAAACTAAATAGTCTCATTTAAATGAAACCAAAATTTCATTCTCCAAGCACTAGTCAAAATAGTTGACATTGTCCGTTCAAAAACGGCTCAAAAGTTACAAAATAATTGCAGGTTCAAATAACTCTTTTAACCACCAGACAATAATGATAAGACATAAAAATAAAAAAAAAAGTCAATGATAATGGTAACAACATAGCTACTGAATTATTTCAAATTCAGCACCAATTGGGAGATGATCACTAGGATGATAGTAATTTGGTAGACCACCTTGAACATCCGAAGCTTCGGGCTCCGGAAGTTCGAGGTAGCTGACTGGTTTGATACCCCCAGAAGGAGAAAACAGTATGTAATCTAGAGTTCCAGTAAATCCAGGAGTGTAGTTTGTGAAGTGTGGTTCTCCTCTAGTACTTGCATAAGCACTGCACAAAGGAATGGGCACATCATCTGAGATTTCGGGCAAAGTTCCCGCCTCTGAGGAACCTGACATAAGGTACTCATATACCTGAAACAACAAGAAACAAAGCCAAGTTACTAAACACACCAATGAAGTGTAAAGAATAAAGTGAGGAAAACACGCGCACGTTAAGAAGAAATAATAATCAAGGGCACCACAGGATAATTTGTCTTATAACAAGATTTCATCAAGAAAATAGACGCAGACCTTGAATAATCGTCAAAGAAATTAAAAAAATGCTGAAACCCAAAAATTGAACCCCTACTCTAGTAAGACCCCAAATATCAGAGTAAACCGAAAATGGGACTCTGCTCGACCACTAAGACAACAATAGAATATAGATTGGTTGTGTACCCCAAGTTGACATAATAATGGACTAATAGTCCGATGTAGACAAGTATGACAACGGGTACCATCTTCTAAAATCTAGGTAAGTTAGGATGCTTCAATCATCTATGAATTAGTATGGAGAGCCAGAAGCTACAAAAATTGCAATATGGAATCTCACAGTGGTTGAGAGTGGGTTAGTGTCCCCTTATATGGTCTAGGGATCCTCATTTCATGAGCTAGTTTGGAGTTGATTTTGGCCTGAGATCTATTTTTATTAATATGGTATAAGAGGTGATCCATCTCTCCTGTTATGTTTCTTAATGTTGGGCTCCTATGGTATGCTATCCACACTCCAATATGTCCATGCCTGGCATAAGATGGGTGTTGGAGTGTCCCAAATTGTTGATCCATATTGGCTTCAGATATCCTCACTTCATGAATTAGCTTTCGAGGTTGAGTTAAACCCAAAGTACATTTTTCTTAATTGGAATAATGAATCCTACTAGAAATATGAGGAAATCAAATAAAACAAATGCAACTTAGATAGAGTAAGTTGATGTTGTTCAATAGAGCTTGGCCCATAGCAAAGCAGAAGGACCAAATGTTTCAAAAGGTAAAACAAGAGATTAGCTGACCTGACTCCCAGGAAGTGAGTTGAAATCACCAGTAACAACCACAGAAGGAGAGCAATCAAATTTGTCTGATACTAGTAACTTGAATTGAGCTAAGCGTGAAAGCAAGTATCTAGCTTGTGCAAGTTTGACATCGGCCAATTTTGGATCCCTGTGGTATCATTCGTATATGTCAACAGTGTATAGAGTTACCAAATTGAATATCCAGACGTGCTGCAATAACAAAAGTGGACAACAGACATACCAGTAAATGTGAGTGTTGGCCACAATGATAAGATGAGAAGGATCCTTCAGCCTAAAGGCTGCCATAATACCCACACAGTCACGTTTAAATCTAACACAAGGATCATTTAGGTCTCCACGATTTGCTTGCCTGTTTTTCAAACCGGCATCTGAAATTGGAATGAGAAAGATCACAGTTACCTCATACCATGGTGATAGGATTATGAAGCTTAAAGCATCCATTACCACAAAATTTGTGCATTGAGGAGCAAAGATGAATCCATAACCCATCGTGTCACAACACTTTATTCACCTCCCGAAAATGAGATGTGTAAAAGTCTCCCCCTTTTTAAGTTTCAAATTTCAAGTCATTTAATTCTGAAAGAGCTGATTATTTTTTAATATGAAGTTACCTTCAGTGCCTATTGAAAATGCGCTACTGCGTTAGATCCAATATTGGTGCTTTCTTTTACCATGGACATCTTCCCTCGCAAAACCCTCAAGCCAAACTTAAATATGATTTCTTTCCTCACATATTGGTTGTTGCTACCAAGACATACCTTAACATATGATTCAGCACAAGAGTTATTAACTGTTTCAACTGCAAATGTCAATCCAGGTTTCTGCTACAATATGAAAAGCCTCCCTTATCACTTTTCTATTAAATTGATACAGATTGACTTGCTACATTAAATTAGAGGCTGACAATAACAGGTCCACTTCCAAGCTCCAACAGTATTCAACTTTCAAGAGTACCAACTTCAATTATAATTGTACAAAAATCTTTGGATCTTATCACGACACCGCAATTCAAATACTATTCCCCTCTTTCATTATGATTAAGTCTTAGTTATGAAATTCACACATACATCAACTGTTTGAAGGAAATTTGCTATAACTGCAGCACTAAACCAACCCACATTCACCCCCAAAAGAAAAGGGCAAAAAAGGATAGGAAGAAGACGAATTGATTTAATTTGAAATTTCATTTGAATTACGTTGGAGGTTGGACAGAATTTTTTTAGCAGTTTACTGTATAAAGACATGTTTCCCTGACTCTATATGTGACTTTTAAACCAGACCATGCTCCAATTTTGTAAAGACAAACCCTAGGTGGACAAAAGCAAGAGTATACCACCTTTTGACGCTGACTTTTTATTTCCACCAGCAGGCAAATTCTCCTCTTTATCCTCAGATGAAGAATCGTCTTGATTTGAGGGTACAAGATCATTGTACTCTATCTTCTCTTCAATGACCAACTCTGCACTATAAATAGCATAAAATTTCAGATAAAATGAGTTATGTAGAAATATTTTATTCAGCCTGAAGAAGTTATAGAAACATACCCATCCAAACCATAAGAACTTCTGATATAGAACTGAATTCTCTCAGTCGTTAACTATGCAACGATGTAACTTTAGCATGATAGAAGTAACTTAATCTACTGAATAGGTGGGAGTAAGAGGTTATGATGTGAAATAAAATGTAGTTCTGTGCCGTATTACTCATCTCTTGGATCCCTTGAAGTTGCAAGGATACGACGCCAAAGCTTTATTTAAGCGAACTTATAACTAATCATCTTATTTTTTAGCTAGAAAGTGCATGATCATATCATAGTACTCTCAAACATAATGCATCTATAAGATGACCAGCAAGTCTCCTCAAATAATACAAATAATTTCATCGGTTAGCTTAGCCATTCTTTTAGTTATAGATATTTAGGTTAAGGAAAGAAGAGAGAATAGATGGTCACCTATCCTGCTTATAAAAGATCCCGCATCCATCACGCTTCTGCCCACTTCTTTTGATGTAGATACTTGAATAGCCAGCACTCTCTATATTTCTTTTATAGAAGCTATCATATTCATCCAATTCCTGGCACATAACACAATCTTGATTAAAATATAACCTAGAAGAAATTAGAAGTTTCTTTCTTCTTTTTTTTTAGTTTCCCTCCCGGTTTCAGGTATTAACTTTAGGACCCAACTATTACGGATACGCGTCAGGAAGACCCACTTTCTGGGGTAAACGTCCCCTGCCAAAGGCAACCTCATTCCCACTCTCAAACCCAAGACCTCCAGTTAATGATGCCACTCCACCACAACCTTTTGTGGTAGAAGTTGTTATTAGAAGGAAAATGGATGAATGGATATTGCTCAATCTTAAATTATCAAAAAATCCAAACCTGTAAGCAAAGGAAATCGGCCCCGAGGCTCTTGAGAACTGTCAGGATTGCCTGTGAACGGGCTTTCCACCTAAAACAACACTTAACAAATGTTGATTCTGAAATTACGAGTAAAAGAAAGAAGTTGAAAACTGTCTCAATGAAGGCTCATTCCACATGGCTTCAAGTCACAATGCTTTGGAAATAAATTTTACATTAGAAGCTCTTCAAATACTCGAAGAGAAAAGAAGTAAAATTGACTTAAACACAACTATGTATCTTCTATTAACACTTGCTTAGAGAATTACTAAAATCCAATAAAAGTCCTATGCTCCTGACTCCAAGTCTTGAAGCATTTCTCGGACAGTCTTGAAGGCAAGGAATATAATAATAACGTAATGCAACATGAAACAATCATATTGGAATTCCATAAAGGCCTAAGGCATTATAAACAAGTCAATTTGGGTCCACTCAAACATGTAATCAATCGCATTGGACTTTCCAGAGAGAAGAGAAACAATATCCGACAGGCTGTGTATAAGAAATGCAAAAATGAAAATTTGGATATAGATGACGTACTTGAGACAAGGCCCTGGGGAGTGTGGAAACAGATCAGCCTTTACATATGCCTACAATTAAAAAATCTCAGAACAACAAAATATTGGCAAACAGAATCCATACAACTCAATAGATTAAATGACTTGAATCTGTAAGAAGAAAAACTAAAACTGACTAACATCTCAGAATACAAGTGTCAAGGTATGAGATAATATCACTTGAATTGTGCTCTATAGTCCTAAAAGACAAATCAAAGGACATACCAAGCATGTTGGTACACTTGATTAATTAACAGCAAATGTGTGCATCGATAATGGTTTTCCCATCCAGATATGTATGCTCTACTTAACACGATGGTTCAACCACAGGTGAGCGGCCTCAAATTCTTTTTGTTAGGATCAAATCTCTCTCTCTCTCTTCTGACTTTCATTTGTTTGTTTGTCCAAGATGTGACATGTTCACAAAGTTCACAAGAGTACTTTGGCTGATGAATAAATACTTTGTTTATTTGATTTTCAAAGTCAAGATAGACAATTTACAGTGTATTTAGCCATATAAGGATGCTCAATAGTTTAAGAAAGCAGCACTTAACTTCCGTTACTGAAGTATTACTTGCATGCACTTCATAAAAATAATAAAATAAATGAATTGCCTCAAGAAATTTGAACATGGTCGGATTACCTGAGCCAAAATGTTATATGATACCAAACTGAACTTAAAACCTGCAACAATAGACAAAAAGTACAACATTAACTCCAGCTGTACAACAAAAGCATACAAAAACGAAAAAGAAAAGTTAAAATAATCCACTTACCATCTGATTTACTTACTGAAGTAATTCCACTCTTTTCAGCAGGAACAAATTTTGGTGACAGAAGTGCAGTTGTTGTGCTCATTTTGGCAAAATGAATTGTTCTGTAGATATTGTAAACCAAGAAAAGAAGAAGCAAATGAAGTCTCCAATCAAAACTAAAAAGGAGATAATACATAAGAAGCCCCTAGTATTGGCTCCGTTTACAACTTACACAAACTATGGGTGTTTGTATGAACCCCCTGAACTTCCTTTTTCAGTACCTATTACCACCCTCAAGTACCTAGTGATACAAAGAGTGGTGTGTTGTCAACACCTATGTGATGCACGGAGCAAGAAAAAGGTGAAAAACAGCTTATCGTGGCTTTTTTTTTCCAACAATAACTGTACTTATTCCTCTTTATTTCTCTTTTTTTTTAATGGGGGGTGGGTAATCTAACCCGAGAATAATAGAACTGTGCCGAACTTGTTACAAATCTAAAAATGGCAGCCCAATGCACAAAGCACCTTGTGTTGACACAGGGTTTGGGAAGGGCCGCTCCCCAAGAGAATGTAATGTATAGTCTACCCTGAAGCAAGTATAAGTGATTGATTCCACACCTCGAACCCTGGCTTATAGTTCACACCAGTAGTGACGCCAAAAAAAAAAATGAAATTCCAACAAGCTTGTGGGATTACACCAGGTATGTTGTTGTAAAATTTATAAATTTAGCTATGTTGACAAAAATAGAGTTCCATCCAAGTGTTTTACAGATCTGGCCGAAAAAAATGGTTTTTTAACAAAGGGTAGAGGCTACGGGTTTCCTTTGTCATCGAAAAAATAAAAAAATTAGTGGTTTAAAAATGCCACGTTCTTGAACAATCAACATGACTAATATGATTATCACTTCCCACCAAATTTTGGTTCAGAGTGGCCATAGATACGAAAAAGGGAAGTTCAAACAGGATACAAGCACCCTATAGTTTAGGTGTGTAACTTGCAAACAGAGCCAAGGGGAATCCTAATAGTTCAGTTGGTTGGCTACCCAAACTTTCACCTTTTTGATGAGGGTTCGATTCCTTACCTTGTAGTCCCCTCCCCCATTTCCCCTTCCCTGCCCCTAATGTTTTGTTAAAAAAATTGCCAACAGAGCCAAGTCCAAGGGATTTAAAATTGTCAAATACTTTTGAGAATTGCAATAAGATTTATGATTTCATGCTCCATAACAATATGAACCTGCTTTGGTCTTTTTAAGAACAACTCACTCTACCGTTTGTTTCTTTCTATTAGGATACCAGTGGGTGGGGCTAAATTTAGGCATGTAGTCAATAGACGAGTCATACGCAACCCCCGAAAGCTTACTAGTGCCAAAATGGATTGTGTCAATGTGGATTAAAAATGCATCATAATCCAACTAGCCTAACCCAAACCCATTTTTCGAATTGTTTATTATTTGCTATATTTTTTCTTAATCACCAAACAGAAAAGTTTTCCTCTTCTTTATAGAGTGTGTGAAAGTATGAGAAATATACTTAATAAACCAAACAAATTAAAATTCTATTTTGACGAAGTTCTCTATGGGTCAATTTAGGCTACAAAAAAGGCACAAACAAAAGAGTTTCTCTATTCTCTATAGAGAGAAAAACTGTGTGAAGTTAAGGTAGAGAGTATACATAGTAAACCAAACAAAAAATTTACAACATTTTCCTTTTAGAAAGTTTTCTTATGGGTCAGTTTGGGGTATGAATCTGTTATTTATATAAAGAGAAAAGGTGAGTAGAAGTGTAGGTGGCAAAATATACATGATAAATCAAACCGAAAGATTATATCTTTTTACAAAGTTCTCTTATGAGTCAATTTGAGCTACACTTTGATTGGGTTAAAATAAGTTGCATCTAAGTTGACCTACAATGAATATTTTGTAATGACCCAAACCCTTAATTATGAGGTTTAATGCTTACTTTTATGTTTGGAAGCTTGGTTCAAGTCATATTCTGTGGAACTTGTTTGAAGGATTCAGGTTGGGACACGAGGGTATTTTTTTCTTTTTTTAAAAAAAAAGAAGATGATGAAATTGACCCCGAGAGATGAAGTGAATTTTCCAAAAAAACTCCAATGAACTGCACCAAAAATTCCTTTTTCCTAGTAAAGCAACAGATCTTCGCGATCGCGAGGCCTGGGTCTTGGTAACGCAGGGTTAGGGTGTTGTGCCTCGCCAAGATCGCATAGGGTCCCCGCGTAATTGCTCTCTGATCACGAGGTACCCTGTTGTAGTCGCGAAGCTCTGTCGCCTGGCAATATAGAAGCTGGCAGATTGGGATTTAAGTTTATTTCATCATTTTGGGGTATTGAAGTCTCGGTTTTTGGGCAGTTTTAAAAATGAGATTTCATCACCAAAACGTTAGGGGTAAGTGATTTTAACTTGGATGTGATCAATTATTTCGACTACTCGCTGATTATGAAGCCTAATCTATGAAGATTTGAATCAGAAATTAAGGAATATTACCCGAATATCACTTGAGGAAATTTCCTCGACCTATCTTTTAGCCAATGTCTCCCGAGAACCAATTATATTGCAGCTTTTCTCTTTCACATGGGGAAGCCGCCTCTTGGTTGGGGATATTCTTTTTCAAAAAATTGTACATCACGACTTACAAAATTATTAGATTGAATTGGCTCAAGGTAGATATAAGCATGGTGAGTCTAAGAGATACCTACATACACACACAGGGTGGACCAGGGCTCAAGTTTATTTTTGGTATAAGGTCTATGCCATGGGTAACAAAGGCAACTAAAAACTTTGAGGATGGGTATAGTCTAGAGATCGACCAAATAATTTTTGGTAGGGCGATGCATTATTCAGGATTGGAGTGGGAAGTCGATTAGTAAGGTAGATAGCATAAGGATAGGCAAAAGACCAAAATTCAGGTGGTAAGGATGCTTCATGAACAACGGGTTTTATCGGTTTCAAGAATATGACGATGTCTACGTTCAGCTATGGCAACACGTTGTCGGTGTAGGAGGTGAAATTAAGGGTTCAAATCCATGTTTATCTCAAGATAGGGTTGAAGACCAATGAACTCACCCCCTCCGACGGTATAAAGTGAAGAAATTTTTGTTTTGAAGAATTTTCAACTGAAGGATGAAACTTTGGAATATTGATACAACCTCACTTTCATTTTTAAGTGTATACAACCAAGTATATTTGGTGTATTGGTCAATAGAGTACGTGAGTCCTTCCCAACAAAAGTAAAAACAAAGAATTAAATAGATGTGAGGTTATCTTGACAAAACTTACTAACAAAAATGAGATTTTTTTTTATTGATGGAGCACAAAATGTGTCAAAAAGCTTAGAAGTAGTTTTAGATGCCTAACTAGAGTTGAACGAGTATGAGCAATAGGAATGGTTTTACTGTCACCCATGGAGATTTCTTCAATTCTTGCATACTTTACAAGGTTGTGGGGTACGATAGTGACGTGGTGAGTTGAGCAATAGGAATGGCGGTGCTCACCAAGTATGTTATGGGAGCTAGCACCCAAAAAGTGAATTCAGTTGGGCCAAGTGATGTGGGGCCCGAAATGAAGAGTGTCATCAAGTGTTTGAAAATAAGGCTCATATTGTGAATAACAAAGTAGGGGGGGTCCCGACCTAACTACCGTGGATCCAATCAAGGGTCATGGAATTTTAGTATTTGGATTATTGTTGGTATCGATCTTGACCTAGGCCTCAAGGCAAGGTTCAGGAAATCAAGGACCAAGGAGCTCAGAACAAAGGTTACAATCATTGAAGCCCATATACCTATGCTCCTACAAGAGGTAGCCAACCATCCACTAGTGACTCCACAAGTTCAAAGATGGAGGATACACTTTCAAGAGTGTTGAGTCTACTGACACAAATGTGAAAAAGGTTAAAGATGGCTTATCAAACATTGGGTAGTCAACTCCCACTCAACTTCGATTAAGCAATTTGAGTCTTAACTTAGCCAAATATCGGCTTCCCTCAATCAAAGAAAAGGGTGCCCTTCCGAGTGATACGGTGAAATAGAATGATAATGGGAATGGTGCCCATTGTATGGTCATTACTATACTAAGCGGAAGGTGTGCTAGGCGATGAGGTGGTGGAAGTTGAAAAAGTTATAGTTGATGAAACAGATGTGGTGGAAAGTAACGTGGATCTTGTTGACACCTAATTTTGTTACTCCTTTCTTCTAAATCATTTCATTGAGCTTCTAAATTACTGATAAGTCAAATATTTGATAATCACTACTATTTTCGATTATTACTATTGTTACCGTTGTTATATATTAGATAATATTATTACTATTTGTTAATTATTATTGTTGTTATCATTTTCACTCTTCTTAAAACTATATTTATTATTGTTATTACAAGTTTCATACCTATTAAATTAATTATAAATATTATACCTTTTATATAGTTATTAGTTGTCAATGGTTAAGATATATTGCACTAATTATTAAATTAGAAGCTCAAAAGAATCAATTTAAAGAAGTAAAATACCATCAAACAAACTAGTCCAAATCTTGCACCCAATCAAGGGGGTGTTTGGATTAGCTTATTTTTAGGTGTTTTTGGATTTTACGCACTTTTTTAGTTTTGGAGGTGTTTGAAAAAGTTAAAAAGTGTTTTAAGACATTCATCTTTAGGCCAAAAAAGTTTTAAAATAAATCAAAAGTATGGCTTTTAGCTATTGATTTATAAGTTACTTTTTATAAACTTATCCAAGCGGGCACTAAATCACTTAACCCAATAAGTAGCAGCCCAATTGCGCCAAAATAAAAAGTTCATGGTTGGCCACAAATAACCCAACAATCCACATTCTAGATTTTTCCTAGCAAACAAATTCCCATAACAACCCTCATAAAAATTTCTAAACAAACAAAACACTTTGATCCAAAGAAAGTAATGAGTGACAGAGGAGTCGGATTTACCTCCCACGGGGTAGTGACTGGGGCTTCATTGACGTCTTGAATTCTACACTCATTTTTCAAATAAAGTTGAGCAAAACGGGGAGGAGAATAGAAAATACTTTGTGGGATGATATGTAGATGTAAGAGAATGATTTCCTTATGAGTGTCAAAACCTGGCTTTTGATGAAAAAATAAGGTTGTATTTATAGGAGAAGAATCTAGGGTTCGCGTTTCCTTGGGGTTGGGCTATTTAGAGGATTTGGGCCGTTATTCAAGCTAATTTTGGACATATTTTAAGATAGAAAATGGGCTACTCTTGAATTGGTTTTTTCCCCTTTAGGCTTCTAATTTAATAATTAGTAAAATGTATGTTATGAAATCAAAAATTAATAATTCTGTAAAAAGGTTAGTAGATAAGAAACTTAAAATAAAGTAACGACAATCAATTTTAAAAGAAGAGGACAATAAAGTAATAGTAGTAATGTTAATGATTAAAAATGGGGGTTGCTTTGGAGATTTGGATGGTAGGAAAAAACTAGAATGTGGATTGTTGGGTTATTTGTGGCAAGCCATGAGCTTTTTATTTTGGAATTGGGCTGCTACTTATTGGGTTAAGTGATTAATTGGGTGCAAGATTTGGACTAGTTTGGTTGATGGTCTTTTCCTTCTTTAAATTGATTTTTTTGAGCTACTAATTTAATAATTAGAGCAAATTATCTTAACCATTGACAATTAATAACTATATAAACGTTAAAATATTTATAATTAATTTAATAGGTATGAAACTTGATATAAATTAATAATGGTAATGTTGATAACAGTAATAAATAGAACTTTAAGAAGAGTGAAACTGATATAAAGGATAATAATAATTGTTAACTAATAGTAACAATGGTATCCAATATATAACAACGATAACAATATTAATAACCGAAAATAGTAGTGAAATATCAAATATTTGACTTATTAATAATTTAGAAGTTCAATGAAATGAATTAGAAGAAAGGAAGGACAAAATTGAGCGTCAACAGATCGCAAGAGAAAAAAGGCTTGTATTTAGAAGCCTATTGATGTTGATGAAGCTACCAGAGGTGTAGAGACTGCCCCCATTCAAAATGAAGGACTTGTCAAAGGCAAAAGCAAAGTAGAAGCCATATTTCCGTTGCCAATACCAAAGTTTCCTCCCCCATTCCCCTAAAGGCTCTTGAAGAAGGTGGAGAATGGAAAATTTGACAGGTTCATCACAATGTTGAAACAATTGTCATGAAGGACTTAACTACAAAGAAGCGGAGTGTGAGCTTTGAGACCATGAATGTTATCCATCATTGTAGATCCAGTGTCATTAACTCGTTGGTCCAAAAGAAGGAAGACTCGATTGCATTGACCATTCCATTCACTATTGGAGTCTACCAATTTTCCAAAGTTTTATGTGACCTTGGTGCTAACATCAACTTGATGCCTCTTGCTATATTCAAGAAATTGAGTTTGGGTACTCCTAGACCTACAACTATGAGGTTGTTGGTGCCAGACCATACAGTAAAGAGGCCGGTTGGAATTTAATATGATGTGCTTCTGAAGGTGGATCGATTTATTTTCCTTTTATCTTCAGAGTACATCTCTAATCTTTATACAAAGAATTATGTCATTTAACAAGTCAATTAACATCCAAACTTTATTTCCCGTTTAAGAAAGTGGGAATTGTTCAAAGCTTTCAGTGGATTTATGTTCAACAATTTACCAAGGTGAAGCTTTTAGCCGCAGAATCAATAAGTATATCATTAATTCCTTTCTTTTTATGGAGGGCAGAAATTCAACATTAAAGCAAAGGGTTATCCTTAAAATATATATTTCCCAGCTAATGTCAGTGTGGCAATTCATCAAACAGGTGGTGACACTCAATAATGTATTCAATCATTTGAGCTATAATTATCTTCAATTTCAATGGAACTTCATACATGTAAGAACAAGCAAGAGAGATACAACAACAACGACAACATACCCCGTGAAATCCCACTAAGTGAGGTCTGGGGAGAATAGTACGTCATGGAAGCAGAGAGAGAGAGGCCATTTCCGAAAGACCGTCGAGGAAACAAGCAATAAAGCGGTGACATATACACATACCTGTGGGGTGGAGAAGCTAAAGGAAAACGAGGAAGCAAAAAGAATGAGCTTTTCAACATTGCTTCTGTAGATTTTTAGGAGTCGTTAATGGTTTCTTAAGTTTCAGCCTTTAGGTTTCAACGAAGCCCAAAAGAAGATCCATGCTTCATTCACAGCCCAAATCCAGCTTTGGTGTTTTGGGCTAAAAATTTTGTCTTGGGCTTTTTCGATGGCCCAATAAATATGAATTAAATTGCCCTTGTACACTTTGCTTATCTAGTTTACCAAACATGGGTCCATACACTATATATACATTCGATTGTACATTTTATATATAGTATAAAAAAATATACAATATCTATGCACTTATACATATTTTTGTGAACTAGATGACCGATAATTTTTTTCTTTCTTTTTCTTTTCCTTTAGGTGAGAGCCAAACAAATATACAAATCTAATATAAGAGCCAACTGAGAAATAAGTATTTCTTTGTTTGATTAGAGATCTCATATTAAAGATTTGTATATAAAAATAGGGGGAGTTTTACCCTCCTACTAAGGTTTTCGATACGTTTGAATTAGTTGGACGAGTGCACGCACATTGAATATCAAATGCTTAATATTAAAATTTATAGAATTTAAATTTTTAATCCGAAAAAAAAAAACATAATCAAACTACTTGAATCCTATGTATAAATGGATCACAAGCAGCTATCTGGTCCACAAAATGAGCACAACAGCGAGTCGCATCAAATGAACGTCACTTTAACACGGAATCTCAATCTTATCAAGTTTGTCAAATAAGGGATAAGAGTCTGAAAAATACATTAATTTTGGTCGGATTTGTTGTTGCGATACTAAACTTTCATAAGGACCTATTACCTCCCTAGACTATTTAATACCGCATTTTTTATCCCCTGAACTATTTAATAGTGTATTTTAAAGGTATATGTGTGTCCACGTGGACACATTACTATTTATAATTTTGCATTATATTTTATGTCCACGTAGACAAATATATATGTTTAAAATACGGTATTAAATAGTCTAGGGAGGTAATAGGTCCTCATGAAAATTTAGTATCGCAACAACAAATCCGACCAAAGTTAAAGTATTTTTCAAACCCTTATCCCGTCAAATAACAAAGTTCTATATAATAAGAAAAAGATTATGATTCTTTATCTTGGAATACTACTTTAATTTAATTTATAAAATTGCAATTATGTATGAAAGTGATTACATAAAAGGAATGCTCCCCTTTTAAAAACTATATCCTTGGGATTTGTCCTCTTTATAAAAACAATAGCATACTCAATTATAATGCTATAAAGAAAAATTAAGGACTCGTTTGGTAAGAGGTATTAATCAGAATAGTCCATGGATTAAAATTTAGTCCAACAAAAATATTGTTTGGTTACTTTATTTAACCTAATCCATGGATTAGTTATACCTCATACAAGGTCTTATTTTATCCCTAGAAAAGGGAGGGATAACTAATCCAAGGTTTAACAATCCTTGGATAAGACCCCTAAATGACTAAACTATCCCTAAATCTTTTTTCATAATTTTTTTTTTTGTAATTTAATGCTCTTTTTTATTTATATGAGAATATTTATAAATATTCTTTTAAATTCTCCAAATTCGTTCCATGTAATTTGATGATTTCACAAATTAATATTTTCTTCTCCATGTTTGATTTGTTATATTGAGTTGGTTTTTTCGGGGTTTTTTTTTTAAAATGTAGTTCGTTGACTTGAACTATTTTTTTTTTAAAAAAACAAGCTTTGTGTATTTGAACAATTAAAATAGCCTTAAATCTATGTTAAGTTTAAGGTTAATATACCGTGCTATCAAGGATCTCTATGGTGGCATATCACACCTCAAAATTTAATAATAATTTTTAAAATATATTTTAGTATTTAATTTGACAAATTAAATGAAATATAAAATCTCATAATAACTCAAGGGTCTAATAGGAAATAAACTTTTTCTAGAATTTTAAACCAAACATAAGATTAAATGGGAAACATGAACAAAACACTTGATAAAAACTAACCCCTGCATTACTAAACCTTGCATTACTAATCCCTACATTACTAATCCATGCATTAGTAATCCCCGCATTATGCATCTTTGTACCAAACGACCCCTAAGAAGCGTAGATCTATGCAAATTTTATCCCTAGAACGTAGAGAGGCATTTTTGATAGATCTTTGACTCGATGAAACATGGATAAAAGCAATTCAGATTAGGAAATAATATTAGAAATGAAAAACTCATGGCAAAATACTATAGGAAGCATGACAAAGCATCTTGCACAGTAACTATAATAGAAAAATACGATAATCGAAGTACAAAAAGCGACAAATAATAATAGAGATCAATGAACATGAAACTACAAGAGAAACTACGACTATGAGTATTGAAGGATAGTCAAGACTACATTCTACTACTTGTTAACCTACTACCACATTTTGTGTCCTCTCCCTATTCAAGGTCATATCTTCATCAGTAAGTTGAAATTGTGTCATATCCTATCTAATCACCTCTTCCAGTTTTTCTCCGGCCTACATCTACTTCTCTTGAAACCATCTACAGTCAACCTCTCACACCTAAACACTAAGTCATTCGTGCATTTCTTCTTCACATGCTCAAACTACCTCAGTGTCGTTTTCCGAATCTTTTCCTCAACTTAAGAAATTCTCAGCTTGTCCTGTATATCTTTATTTCTAATCTTATTTCTCCTAGTATATATGTCCACACATTAATCTCAGCATCCTTATTTCTGTAACTTTCATTTTCTGAACGTGAGAGATTTTGACTGGTCAACACTTCGTCTCATACAACATAGTTGGTTTAACAACCATCTTGTAACTTGCCTTTAAGTTTAAGTGGCACCTTTTTATCATAGAAGACTCCAGTTGCGAATGAATCTCCATTTCATCCATTGTGCACCAATATGGTGTGTGACATCATCGACAATCTCCCCGGACATTTTCTTGGGTAATAGACACAAGATACCTGAAACTATCTCTTTTTTTGGATGGCCAAAGTATCAAGCCTTACTTCCATTCCACATTCATGTCATGTTACGTTACTGAACATGTACTCCAAGTATTTTTTTTTCTTCGTCCTACTCAAATTGAACTTCAAGATATGTCTCCAAACCTCAAGCTTAGCACTAACTCTATCGATCGCGAGTGTGTCACTCAAAACTATATCATCTAATATGCACCAAGACACCTCTCTTTGAATTTGATTTGTAGAGTCAATTCATTCATAACATCGATCATTATGTCATCTATACCTCAGCCCAAAAGAAACAAAAAATTAAATTAATAGATAATGAACAAAAGTTGAATAAAGATCTTTTCGAGAAATATAAGTCTATCTATACTACTAATACTTGATCTATATATGATAATATTGCCAACATGTTGATCAAATCCTTTTAACTTGTGTTATCAAAAAAATCAAGTAATTTAATAAAGATAGCTTGAAAGTGAAAGCATATATAATTGTAGTCCCATTATGTACATGAACCAAACAATTTGATTGACTCTGTGAAGTTGCGTAACCTATGCAATTGATATAGAAACCAATCTCACCAGAACAATGGACAATGACATTATTGGCATTTAGCTCTTACTAACTGGGGGGGGGGGGGAGGGGGGGGGGTTAAAATTCAACCATGAAATTAAGTGGTGTTGTGACCAGTTAACTACTTATGGTCCACTTATATAAGGGTCCAGGGCTACTTTAATTTCTTGATTGCTATTAGGTATTACTAATATTTTCCATCCAACTTTCTATGACTCAGCTAGATTAACCACTATTGTAAATCATTATTTTAGTTTATCTTTTGGTAGTAAGGTAGAAGAAATTAAAACCAATATTATTACAAATTGTCAGTGTATTTTGTTGAGTCCCACGTTGGTTGATTTAGGATATTTAATCTCATTAGTAATTTTAGACTTTCGTCACAATTCTTTTCTTTTGATCAGAGGATCTATCGAAAAACAACACTTTTACTTCACAAGATAAGAATAAGGTGTATGTATACACCACCTCTTTAGACCGCACATGTGATATATATGATATTAATTATTAGACTTTCGTTAGAATTCATCTCAGTTTTTTTTCTTTTCTTTGCCGTAGGAAATTAAAGATTCATTCCTATTTGTGGTTGGAATCGAACAAGTAATGTTTCATTGAGTTTATATTGTGCTACCTTAATATTTGGATTGATTTGGTTTTTTTTAAAAAAAATTGAACAAATTGAGCTTGTATAGAACTTGTTGAAGAAGACATAGTTTGTCTATTGGATTTAACTTCTACGTTGAATCTGACCTTGAAAATTGTTGGGATTGGTACTAGAAGATTGTACCATATCAAATATTTTGGACTTGATATTTATGAAACGTATCAGTGAAATTTCAAATAACAAGCTGTAGTTATCATCAGTAAATATTTTACTGACAAATTTGACGATTTATCAAGATATGTGGTCATAATTATTTTGCCACAAATCCCAAAGGATCCATCAGGATTTGACAAGGCATGTTTTTCCATCAATTTCAAATTATTTAGATTTATGGCTAAAATTTTGACGATTTATCAAGATTTGACTAGTAATTTCAGAAATTCTTTTGACAAGGCAAGTTTTATCCGTAAATTTGAAATCCTAATGATTCATCAGAATTTTGGTACGTATGTAAATCTACTAGTGAATTGTGTTACGTATGTAAATTTGCATGTGAGTTTGTGGAGCACTCGAATGTGGAGCTATTAAGTCAATGGCCGTTGTGATTGACAATATATTTTATTTATTTATTTTACTTTTATTTTTAGTCCATCTCAAAAAAAAAAAAAATTCGTTTTTTGGAAATTTATTAAGTGATATGTTTAATACTATAAAATTGAAAGATATTTTGGTACATAAATCACAAGATTCAAAAAATTTCTTTACTTCTTAAATATTATATCATGTTAAAATCAGACAAATAAATTAAAAAGAATAAAATAATACACATGGAAACTATGACAATTTTTAGAATTTAATAGAAGGATAAAGCTAGTAATTTACTAT